GATCTAACAGAGAAGAGAATCGCCGGAGTAAATGGAAATTTTCAGATTTGGTTTTTTTTAAGAAAGAAGAAAGAAAATAAAATAAATATTTGCAAGTAATAAAGACTTGACACGTTAGCTTCAAAACATTGGTTAGGAAGATTAATTAATAATACTTATGGTTAAAGATAATCATTCCTTTTTTTTTAATTAACGTCACTATAGTTTTTTTTTTTTTTTTGAGGTGTGTGCTTGTTGTGTTTTTAGTGGGAAGATGAACATTTCATAGTTTTAATGATTCGTATTGTCGTTGACATTTGCTTTTTTATCATTGTCAAAAAACAAACATCACTTCATTTATAAATGGGTTTTGTAATGATTAGCTTATTTACTTTTTTTTGTTGGTTATCAAACTAAACGTCCCTCTTAATTTGACTCGTTAAAACTATATTAAAACGGATTGAGTTAAAACCGTGCTTAGGACATGGTATGTCAACTTATCGAAAATTCCAAGGAGAACTCTACCAAAATAAAGTTATTGGTGGCTTTTCCTTTTATTTTGAATTAATTACAACACGTTTAAATTTTGTACATATATGGTTTATTATCAAGTGTCTAGCCTAATTTAGTCTAATTGTGATATGGCAAGACTATGTGTGCGTTGATATTTGAAGTATTTATGATAGAGAATTATGCAGTATAATTAATATATTATATGATCATGAATGCAAAGATATGGTATGAATCCAATTGAAATATATACATGGAAAGTAATAATCCACTTTCCTTGTACTATTTAAAAAGACAATCACGATATAAATTCGCAGCAGTGATTGTTGTGGAGGAGGAACATATATCAAAAATAGAATTACAGATAGATATTATTTCAATTTTAATTTCGTGAATGTATATACATTTTGTAAAAAAGGGAAGTTCTTGTGACGACAGAAAATAGAAAAATGGGGCTCGTGGATGGTGGAAGCCCTTCAAGTGTTTAGGTTATGAGACGTCGTCGTTTTATGAATCCCACACGCTTGTTCGTTCGTTTCTTCTTGAGTTAGCCACGTCACACTTGAGGCCCTAGGTGTCTCTGTCACAGTATTCTGTTACTGGATTTAAAGCCTTTCTTCTACTTTCTTAATGGGCAAATATACTTTATTATTGGGCTTAATTTTACAATATACTTTTTGCCCAGAAGTTTTTGTCTATTGCATATCAAACATATTTTAAGAAGTTTTTGTCAAGAAGTTTTTAACATCTTCCTCGTTTGCTGTAAACTCAGTGGCACGGTGCATTGCGTCCTGGATCGTTAAATGCCGGTTCAACGCAATTTCCTTTCGGTAGTCTGGCTCGTGCCATAGCGATTTCTTCAAGGCTTGGATGACGTCTTTGTCGCTTAGTCCTCGAACTTTTGACAACACTGCTTTGAAACGGTCGATGAAACTTCGCAAGGTTTCAGTTGGCCCCTGGTTCAACGTCCACAGATCGGCGTCTTCAGTCTGGCATTCCATGAACATTGC